TGTATATAACACCAAGCTGGGGAACAACGTGGATGCTTCTTGATCCTATGTAAGTGGTTGGTTGTTCCTTTGCTGTTCCCGGCAAGGCCTTTAGGTGAAGGCAGTTCATCACCACACACGTGTGATATTCTTACGTCAGAATTCTTAGATCCAAAGAATAAAATGTAACTGTAATTAATATTATTTAGCACACCCCTGAAGTCATCCAAGTATGTAAAAGTTATTAGTCTGGACTCGGCAAACAGTAAGGGTCTGAATTGTTCTGAAATATTTGAATGTGCCACAAGGGCCACGTAGCCAGAGAGCTTTTGTCTGTTGTAAATTGGAGTATGCATACGTGCTAAGCATTTATGCCCTGGCTTTCTTCTCTAATACTGGATGCAGTATGTAAAAGGGTACTGTGTATGTGCTTAGATGTATATCTTGTGAATTATTTGTATATTATTTTGGCAACAGTCAGGTGTAATGGCCATGTACTGGAGGTAAGTGATGCTATTGTCCAGTTTAAGGACGGTTTGCCTGCAAGAACCCTAGGGTTTATTTTTTTTGGATGGGCCTTTCTGATAGCAGAAGAACGAAAGAAAACACTTTTTGAATATAGGAGAAATCCTGGAAAAATCTACTCTTAAATGCTTTTGAAATGGTCAAAGTATTGCCTAGGCATGTTGTCTTTGGAATTCTGAGACTCATTTCCATCTCTGCTAAAATGGGACTGCAGGCTACCTTGCAAGAGAGCTGTCAGGGTCAGCCAGTGAATATTTATGAGGAAATTTTGTGGTGAAAAAAACCCTATATATGCTACATATATTATTAATAATTATGTGAGTCCTGAAAAATACCATACTGCATCACAAAGCTGGTATTGTTGGGTAACTACACTCTTGGCACTGCGTGCTACAGTAAACTGTATACTGAAAGCTCATACTAATGGAAAGGTATACAAGATTCCATTGGTAAGTGATTTATAGTGATTTCCTATTATAAACAAGAGGAAACAAATATCCCGCCTTGCTGGTTTCTTTGGGTGGATGGTGAGAGCAGAATGAGACATTCCTGGCCAGGCAAGAGCTGATTCTCTGGATGCTTGCGACTGGGAGCAGAATGAAGCACCAGAAAGTGTAATATATGACAATCCCTAATTATAAATGATTGAGTTTCCATTTTCATAGTGCTTAGAACTTTCCAGTTGCAGAGAAAATGACCACTGTTTTAAATGATTTCCAAACTTGTTACAAAAAGATGTTTCTGATGTTTAATACTAAGTAGACTTACTATAGGATCTCAATATATGCTGAAAGCCGACCAACATCCTTTCACAAGAAGCACATTGCTTTCTGAGACAAAAACTACCTTCAGCAGCAGCTTCTCTGGGTTTCAGTTAATAAATATGCTATTGGGCACAACTATACTTTGTTTAGGAAAGTTATTTGTGCTGGCCAGTGGTATGCTATTGATAAACTTCAGTGTAGACCCTATCAAATAAGTCTTCGGAACAGTGTGGAATATAATAATGCATCAGCACTGGCTTTCTCTGGAGTCACTTGACACATTGATCTAAGCTTGACAAGTCTGTAGGGGTTGAAATTTGAGTGACAGCCTGCCTTGATCCAAATAGTGAGAGGACCACACTTTTTCCGGAGAGGCCAGAGGTGGCTGCCACCTGAAGCATATTAGATTAAAGTTAACCACAGCACTTGGAGAGGGCAGCTATGGTGAATCCTTGGTACCTTGTATAAAGTGCTGCCTCTCATGTAGTGAGAGAAGGCTCATGAGTGAAGTGCAAGGTCTGCCCATCAGCACTTGCTGTGGAGTGAGTGCTTAGCTGAGGCTACTCAGTGAGATTCAGTATGCTGCCTCATTTTTCCATCCCTTCCGTCACCATTTCCAGAGATGTTACCCAGTGCCATTTCCTTATTGCCTCAGGGAAGAAATCTAGGAACACGTTGTGCAATGATCAAGAAACTGAACACTTTCCATATTGAGAATGGTGTTCTTTGATTGTATTCATTAAACAGTCTCACCAAAATGTTGCTTCTGCAGTTGAAATACACTTTGCAGTTGTGCAGGTATGTCAGATGTCAAAAACTTGAATTACCAAAAGCTTTAATTAGTAGTCAGGGGTAGAGCAGGTAGATTGCAAAAGATAAAGAAAAATGTCGGGCAAGATTCACCTTTTTTTTTTTTTTTTTTTTAACTTGATAAAATTTTGTCATCTATCTTTCCTCTCTTGTCAGTGAAGAGCTAGAAACAGCTAGACTGTGTTTCTTCCAAGCTGAGCTACGAGGTTAAGGGTGTAGTTACACCACGAGTTTTATTTCAAAAGGAGAGATATGGTCCCCTGCTCATGCAGCTCACAGCATATCCACATGAATGATAATGCTGCCCAAAGGGAAACAGTGGGAGGAGGTGGCCATAGAAGAAGGCTTCATGGCCTGGTTTTGCAGCAGCACTCAGGGATGTTGGACTGCGTTGTCAGGTGGGCTGAAACCACTTCTTGGAGGACATCTCTGTTTTTTGTGAATGGAGTCTGGATAAAGATATATGAATTAGACGGCAGATCATGGCAAGTGAGGTGAACCCGACTCCTCCTTTTGAGTTGGGTCTAGTTGCTTTGATGGACAAAATGTCAAGGAGAGCATGGGGACTGGTCTTTGTCTCACTCAATGTGGTTATCCTCATCCAGAAAATGATGTAATACTTATTTCCTTCACTAAGGGCTGTTCAGACAGATGTGAGCTGCTTGGATGCTATGATAGTGCAAACTGGGATATACTGTCAGAGGTTTGGTATAGCAGAAACGGATTTTTGGCAAGAAAAAGAGGGCCTGTGCTTTGAAATGCACTGGATTTTCAGACTTCATTGTACTAACATGCTTTTACAGCAGTTATTAGCAAGAGCTTTGCAAATTATCAATGATGGGTTTATTGTAACTCAGTTTCGAGTTTCTTTGACATAAATTATCTGTTGGAAAAAACCATAAAATCTGAATGGCATGAAGAAAGACCTGTAATTCAGGAAAAATCTTTAGCAAAGTTGAAGAATGGGTAGCTCTTTGCTCCTGGATCTTATTTTTTAGCTTTGCTACTGCTTTTGTACACCATGGGCAAGCCACTTTCTTTGAGAGCTGGCTAAACACCAGTAAAAAATATTTGCAAATACTCCTTCAAATAAACGCTGGAGTTGGAATGTGTGTCACCATTCACACCTACTTTCCTCAGAAGTTTGTACAAGCAATTTTTTTGTTCATAGGAAATATTTTCCAACAGCAGAAGAAACTGACAGATGCTTGAGAGAGGTGTATTTATATCCAGGTTTGCTCTGGCAACAACGTTCTCTATTACTTGCCATTTCCATTTCTATACCTACTGACCTATTCAGTCCTAAACCCCCTTTAAAATTGTCTCTATTAAAAAAGAAAATGGAGCAGGGCTGAAAATTTATTTGTAGCAAAGTACAGCATGAAGGAGACTTTTGGTGTCATTTAGTACCTCTCTCTGGATCAAATGTTTCTTTTTTCCTTGGTTCCCTCTCCTCTGCATAGGTTGAACTTCCCCCTCTTGAATCCCTTTCAAGTATTGATCTAGGAGAGCTTAAGAGATACTGATTCAAGATGTGCTCTTCTGGAACAAAATGTAAACCTTGGTCACTTGTGGACATTTATTTACAAATCTGTTTTGTGAAAGGATGGAGGTCTGCTAAATCAAACAGCTTGGCAAACACCTGACTTCTGAAATTACAGCTGGTCTGTGTGCATTTCTTTGGTGAGACTGGTCTTCAGTGGTCACTACCAAGTGCTGGGGAGTGCAGCTGGGCTGAGCTGTTCGACACAGGTTGGCTGTATGAGAAAACAGGCTGCTGGTCGGTGGTAGGCAAAGTCACTCGTAAGTGGAGAGCTACCAAGGGCTGCAATGTGCTTTGCGACCTATTTGACTGGAAGCTCTGTTTACACAAAAGATCAACTTTTAATTAATAATCTGATGGAAATGTAGCAATAAAGTTGATTTTTAGTTGGGAATCTAGCCTCATAAAGAGGTGCACTACTTTATGAGATTTATGCTGTGTTTAGAGGCTTTTGGTTCTTGTAGTCATTAGTGCTCATGCTGTTACTGTTTCTTTTGTTTGACTTGTTCTCCATAGGCGTTGCAGTTAGGCATCAGCTTCTTGCTCCTCTATAATGCGTTTCTGTGTCAGGATAGCAAACCTACTGAATAAAGCTTATACGTTTCTGCCTGGTAAATATTTCTGGCTTCTCTGCGATGTGAGGACTTAATGAATGAACAAATGGGACTCTTGATGGAAGAGTGTAGCTTATGCCTGTGATGCAATTTCATCTTTGAAGGCTGTTAACCCGGTGTGCTTGTTACTTGTGTCCTTCTCAGCCTGCCTCTGTGACTGAGTCACAGCCTGGGCAAGGGGCGCATTAAAAACCACACGTACCATGCATGCATGGGTGAAAGTCCTATTTTTAGTGCATACAAGAAGGCGTTCACTGAAGGGCAATGAAGCTGATTTTTATTTTTAGGTTTTGCAATTCCTTATGTCCTTGAGATGTATGTTTTGAAGAACTATATCACCTCGCAAAATGCAGGTGGACCTCCAAGACCAGCTTTATTCTCACTATTGCCAAGATAACTTTTTCCCAGGCATGGGCTGGTGTGGGGTGCTCTGGGCGGGGTTC